CCTAATAACCTCAGTTCCAAAAGGATAAATGTACTTCCTTAAAACCCTTAATTTATATTTTCTTGCTGAGATTTGACTCTGAATTAAGAACTGTATCAAATGGTCAAAGTTTCTAAGACAAATACATTCCCTGAGACATTATTAAATTTTACTAATGTTCACGACTTTTCAAAATGAAAAAGTGAAACACAAAGAATTCACTTTTCATTGTTTCAGTATCACCACTATTACATTAAACAACAAGTATTTACTGAGAGCCTGCTATTTACCAGGATACAGCAGCAAATAAAGCAAATGGAGACCTTGTCCTCACAGGGCTTACGCGTGTTGCTCGCACACACAATGGGAGGGTTGGTGCACACATATCAAGAGATCATTTATTAAGGCTTCGAAGCAAACTAAAATTCTTGTGGGCCCATGGTGGGTTATGAAATGTCCTCGACACCATCTGCCATGCTAATGGGGACTGTTCACTGGTCCTGACGCCATTACCATCACCCACCACCAACCTGGTGATACTCTACGACACACAGCATGGCCATGTAGATGAGGCAAAGGAAGGAAAAGGAAGAGGTGGAGGAGAGGGAGGGAAGGAAGGATAGAGAGAGAGAAAAAACACATGGCCCTTTAAGAGAAATCACCAAGAGATTCCTAGTGCTGAGAAATGTAAGAGCATCCCCACATTCTCAAGCGTTTCAGCCCTAGTAACACCTCCAACCTGTCCACGCTGACAACACAGCATTGGGAGGCAGTCAAGTGCAAGATCAGGAGCACGGGATGCTCCCGAAGACAGGAACCTCGTCTCCCACCCCCCAGTTCGCCTCCTTCCTTCAGCCCTTGTGATCAAAAGACCATGAAGTGCCAATATTTCAGGACCAAAGACTTTCTTTTCAAGTTTTCAACCTGAAACAAAAGCAGGCTCTGTGTGTGTGTGTGTGTGTGTGTGAGAAAAAAGAGAGAGAGAAATTGGTAACGTTCACTGATCTCCTCCCATTGCCAGGCTGGGGATGGGAGCTGAAGACAGTGCGGTGGGTCTCGGGTGAGCCGGCCCCTCCAAGAGCAGCGGGCCTGTCTCGGTAACACTGCAACCAGCGCCCTCCCTTCCCTCGGAAATACAGCTGCGAGACACTGTCACTCTGCATCCGTCCTCCGTGTGTTGAATAAAAGATGCCAAAAGACAAACAGCCAGCTGCACTGGGAAGAGGGCGGAGAGCTGCCTCAGGTTGTTTCCGGGAGCATTCTTCGCCGTCTTCACGCAACGATGCCTCCGAAAACGGAAAGGAAATCCAGTCCTCCCTCCTTGTAGCCTCGCCCAGTGCTCCTTCTAGGGGCCTGCTGGAGGGCGGTCCCCAGGCATCCCTGCAGGACGCCGCTCAGAAGGGGCAAGAGCGAAGCCACTCCTCGGATGCACGCCGAGGGCTTCCTTTCAGCCGCAGGCTACAGCTCTGTGCGCTCTCAGCCCTAGAAGCCCCCACGGTCCCGCTGCGTATGAGCCCACACCCCCTCCCGCAAAGGCTCTCCGAGAAAGAGACGCCAGAGTCCCTGAGAGGCTACTTCTAAGGCTTCCTCTAATCACAGGCTCCGTTCCTTGAGTACTTGCTGTTATGTATCAGACACCGTACTAAGTACACTTTTTCATTTCATCTTCACAGCATTTAAAGGTAGGTATTATGAATCTCATTTAATAGACTGGGAAACAGAGGCCTTAAAAAGTGAAATAATTTGCTCAAGGTTGTACCTCTGGTAAGAATCTTCGGACCTGTCCATCCAAACTCCACACCTGTGCCCACGATTCTGTGCTGGAGGGGAAGAGGACCGTGGGGCACCCACGGCACTGGCTGTGCCATCAGAAGCCCTGCTGGTAACCACTCCACTATCTTGGGTGGATATTTAGCCTCTCCGAGCCCTGGTCACTTCATCTTCAGTGCGGGACTAATCATTTCCACCCTGCCTTTCCCCTGGGTGTGCAGGTAGTAGCAGCGCCCATTGCTGCATTCTGGCAAGTTTCTTTCCCTCCATCGGACTCCCTTGTCCCTCTGTTCCAAGTTGCGCATGAGAGGGGTGGGGCAGGAGCAAGAGTCGCAGGATAAGGACGTCTAAAACTAACTTTGGAAGTTACATGTCCTCTTTTTAAATTCTGAATCTGTCTTCGTGTAACTGTATGGGGAAGCATGGAGTCAAATGCGTGAAAAACAAATGCTACTAATAGTCACGTTCCCTAGGCATGAAATTAATCAGAACAGGCAACCACACCGTATGTGCTCGATGAACAGCTACAGGAAGGGCAGCGGGAGGCAGGGAGCGAGCAGGCAGGACTAGCTTCTTCTTCTTCTGATCTCTCTCATCTCTTAGCCTATTTGTACTTCATTACCTGCAATGTGACTAACTGGTTCTCTGAGTCTCTCTCCAATTCATTTAGTCAAAGTTCTTTATTTCCCCTCGATAATCAGCAATGATGAAGGACTGAGAAACAATGCAGTGACAACTACTCTTTGCCAAGTCATCATATTCCATAGTTTGAACAGCCCAGTGATTTTTCTCGGCCGAGGCCTGGTGCCAGGATGAGCCTACCTTCTTGAAATGTCCAACTGCCTAAATGAGCAACCCTCATGGAGACCGAACACACAGACACGCAGAGCTGATAGAAAAATGAAGCTGTCCAGAGTGGCTAAGAAATCCCAGTGCCTGCGTTTATTCCTACAGCCATCAGTCAGCACAACGCTGATGCAGAAAAAGATCCACGGCAACCCGCTAGTGAGGACTTTGGGGAGCTCTCGGAAGAAACGCACACAGAGATAAAGAAGAAAAATCCGCCCTGGCTGGCATAGCTCAGTGGATTGAGCGCGGGCTGCGAACCAAAGTGTCGCAGGTTCAATTCCCAGTCAGGGCACATGCCTGGGTTGCAGGCCACGGCCCCCAGCAACTGCACATTGATGTTTCTCTCTCTCTCTCTTCCTCCCTCCCTTCCCTCTCTCTAAAAATAAATAAATAAAATCTTTAAAAAAAAAGAAGTTTAAAAAAAAAGAAGAAAAACCCATTTATGATGGTTTGGTTAAAAGCAATGTTTGAATGAAGAAAGTACAAGATGGTAAGTAATAACGGGCGGAGGGGGGGGCTGACCATACAGTGGGGATATACAAAAAGAAATATGCATCGTTCTACCTGAAAGACACCTGTGGCTGACGCTCTGCAACACAATCACAAAATTAACCCATCTTCTCCACTCTTAAAATTGCTAAAAAAAAAAAAAGGCAAAAAATGTCAACATAGAGCCCTTCAAAACTTTTTTAATGTTAGGAACCTCATAGTGACCGCTCTGCCTCCGGAGGACCACCTATCACGAAGCCGCCGTCAGAGGGATGGCATTCCAGTGCCTGGATTTACGTCTCAGAATGCAAACTGGCCGGGCACATCTGGCCCCGTCCTGGGTTCCCCAGGGCTGTAGGGAGCCCCAGGGGTGGCTCCCGATGGGGACAGCAGCAGAAGGAACAGCATTTCTCCTGCCGTTCCGAAAGCCTTGTCACAACCTTCCCCTCCCGTCCCCAGTTTCCCTGACAGACTCCACCCACTAGTCTCAGTTGTGCAGAGAAGTTAAACTGCTAGGACAGACCTGGAAATGTTCCCTGGTCAGCAGTGGAGGGCTTGTGTGTGAGCGGGCCTGGGGGAGGAGGGCAGCTCAGGCTGAGCTCTCGCCTCACTTGTTCTAACTCAGTCCTGTTCAAAGTGTTCCCTGTGGCACACCTGAAATTGTTCATCTTAGCCACCGCTCACAAACAGTATGTTTCCCCACAGTGAGTCAGAGGGACTTCAGTAAAAAGGGAACCATTGTTACCCTGTCAAGAGACCATTCATTTCCCACTGAAACAACATTTGGAACAGCAAAGCCCAGGCACAAAGTCAGAGCCTATGAATAATACTTAGCAGAAACAACAGTAAAGAAACACAAAAGGTTTTAATTCACCCTACCCAACAGGAGCAGACCACAGGGGATCAGGCCCCAGAGCAACCAGCACGCAGGAAGCACAGAGAACCCACAGAAATACATGGCTTTTCTAATGCTGGAGGGAAGGCGCTACAACTTTCATGGAGCATGCGAGACCAGGAATTGCATAAGAAGCTGAATTACAAACACTGGACCCCGCAAGAGCACTTGAAATTGACTCTGGAATGCGGTTAAACTGCTCTATCGAATACCATTAATAAATACGACCTTTCATTAGTTGGCCAGGAGGGTAGTTGCTACTGGCCGATTTGATTTTCCTGAAAACAGCAAAGACGCACATGCACTGCTTTCCCAGATGAAAGCCCTCACGTCCCCAAGTGCCGTCCCTGGAAGGAGAAAGTTGCCAGGCAGGGCCACGCTCTGAACAGGTCTCAGACCTCCTTCCGCCTGTTCCCACATACAGGAGGGGAAGCGAAAGTGTTCGTTCAGAACATTTTCTGTTGAAACTTTTTAAAAAAGTGAACAGTTTAGAAACACTGTATAGTGCACCAGAAATTGTTGTTCAAGAGTGAACCCTCTAAGGAGGATAAACCACGAAATGATCCTTCCAGGCCACATCCAGTGGCCTACGCTGGGCACCCTAAAATAACCAACACTCTTTCTTCATCATTCGGTGATGGTATGCAGAAGATGAAGTCAACGGAGTTGAACAAGATGCCTTACGGCTCCTGAGCAAGAAAGGGAGTCGATTCTTTCCACCCCTGCCTTGAGACCCGGCCTCATCCCCTCCCGGCAGGCTACATCTGGGCTGCTGCGCTAGTCTCCAAACTCCAAAGAGACAGCGCCGAGAAGCAGCCACCTGGGAGGTGCCACCCAGCCCCTGGAAGCAGCAAGGCTGGCACACCTCGCAAGTGCCCCACTCCCCTCTCTGCGGCTCCCAGAGCCCGACCCAGAAATGCACGGTCTCTGGGGCCTTCAAAAGAAGAAGAGGGAGAAAGGGCTTGTATTATATAACAATATTCGGCAGATAAGGCTTCTAGAAACGAAAGTAACGAGCGGAAGGGCAGGGGAAGGCGAGGGGAGCCCGGCGTGGGGAGCTTTCGCCGCTACTCACTCGAAGGCGAAGAAGAGTCCGCTCGTGACCAGGATGAGGATGAGAGTCAGGTAGAAGACGCCGGTCTGCCGGGCCATCATGATCCTCCCGTTGCAGAAGAACTTGTTCCTTCCCGGGAAAACCTCCCATTTCCTCCGGGCCGCGATTTTCTTCTTGTGGGGCGACTCCATGGGGGAGGAGCTGTGGGTGCTGATCTGACTGTACTCGCAGTCTTTCATGGGCCCGCCGCCGCCGGGAGGCATCCACGAGGGCAGCCGGCGTGGGGCGCGCACCCCCAGGAGCCCCCCGGCCGCGCGGGCCCCGCCGAGCCACGACCGCCCCCCGAGCCGCGGCGCCGCGGCCCCTACGCGGGATCCGAGCTCGGCGACAACTTTGCGGAGGAGACTCAGGTTAACCCCTCCGGGAGCCCAGCTGTCATAGCCGGATCCCCTTCCTGGAGGGACGGTGCTCGCCCGCTGCCCCCGCCGGTCCTCAGTCGCTTCCAGCCCGCGTGCCGGGGCTCCGGGGTCCCGCGGGGCGCGAGGGGCTGCCTGGCCGACTCCGGGCTCGCCGCACGCCCGACCCCTCGCACAGCCGCTCGCTCGAACCCGCCGCCCTCGGCTCGCCCGCCGCGCCTCGGTTCCGGCCCGCCGACCCCGGAGCGCTGCGCCCCGGGGGGACACGAGGCGGCGGCCGCGGCGCCGCCGGCTGGCTCGGGAGCCACTTCTACGCCTCGGCAAGGTTTATTCTAATCCTTCCTCGCAGCGGTGGATCCTCCCCGGGAGAAAGAGATGGAAACTGGGAGGCCGCTCGCGGCACCGGCAACCCCTCCCAGGGGTGGGGACACCAAGCACGTTATTCTGTCAGGAGCAGGCTCGGCGACCGCCCGGGCGCTGCTCGCGCTGCGACCCCGCGCCGGCGCGCCTGGCAGCCAAGCCGAGTCCGCGGCCCCCGCACGGGGCTGCCGGGGCCGCTCGGGCCGAGGGTCGCAGCGGCCGCTCGCGGGCTGCGCGGCTAGGGGCTCCCTCGCTCCTTCCTGCCCCATAAGAGCCGGGCCGGGCGCGAGGAGGGCCGCCGGGGGGCGGCGGAGCGCGTCCCAGGGCCGCGGGGAGAGCGCCACAGACACTTGTTTGCAAGAATCAGCCCGGCGCGCGCGCAGCGCTCGGAGCGGGTCCGCCTCCTGCCGGCCCGGTGGGCGGCGGCCCAGGCGTCGCCCTCCTGGCTCCTCCTCCCGCTCCTCCTCCTCTCCGCGGAGCCTCGCACGGGCTCCGCGGGGCCCCGGCCCCAGTTCCCTCCGAGCCACCCCCGCTCGGCTCAGGCAAAGGCGCTGCGCTCCCTCTAGCATCGCCGGACGACGGCTCGGCCCCGCCGCGGCGAGCGCTCCCTGCTTCTCCCCCGGGGTTATTCCCCGCAGCAGCTGCCTCCTCGGGACACACACGCACACACACAGGCACGCACACCCGTTCTTGCAACTTCGGGGACCTGAGGACCCCGCAAGGGATGGTGACCCTCCTCGGCCTGCCCCGGCCCTTCCCTTTCCTCCCCCAGCTGGGCGCGTGGTCGAGCTGTGGGGGTTTACTGCTGCCCAGGAATGGGGCGGGCGCCCTGGCCACCGTATGGGGAGGGACTGCACAAGACAGGCCGGACTCCGGGCTGGGGTCTGCGAACTGGGGTCTCGGGCCGGGTTTCCAAGATTCCCACGGGGACAGAGAAGCGGTCTGGGTCGCTTCCGGCCCCAGCCTCTGCCTCCCGCGGAAGGACAAACCCGGTCGCTTCTTTTGCGTGGGTTGATGCCTCCCGGGCCTTTCTCACTTCTCCGACACGGATGCTCACAATTTGCTTGCTTTATTTCTCTCCTTTCCCCTGGAGCCCCAACGGCCGCAGAGGGATCGCCCCTGCGTTCTCGCCCCGCACTGCCCCACAGTTCCGGCCGATCGGCTTCTGCGCTCCCGCCCTCCCCGGCTTTGCCGAGGGGTCTGAGCCCTCCGCTGGTCGGCACAGCCCGTGGGAAGCGGAAAGCGAAGGCTGCCAGCGCAGATGCTCGGTTTTCCGAGCCCCACTTTTCTATCACGGCCCACTGGGATGTGTAGTTCTTCCTCTCGCCGTCCGGCTGCGAGAGGAAACACGACTTGGGGACCGAAAAACTACAAATCCCTGCATGCCCCGCGACGAGGGTGGGCGAGGCGCAGTGCTGGGCATTTCTGGTGCTCGGGGGTGGGAGGTGGGAACTAACAAAGGGAACTGTGGAGCAGGGTTCGGCCTCCTCCGTGCTGGCACCCAGCACTTGACGCACGTTCTCTATCTGATCTGCATTACAACCCTGCGGGAGGCACTGTTGTATCCAGCTTCCAGGACGGCCGACTGCTTGCCAGCGATCACAGACCGCTCCTGTGGAAGAGATGGGACGGAACCCAGAACCCTGAGAATTGCCCCTGCCAAGCGCAGTGTCAAAGAGAGAAGAGACTGGTTTAATCAAAAGAAAGAACTGGGGCCAGTCGGGGTGGGGGGGGGAGGGGTTGCGAGGCGGGGACAGTGGGGATGGCAATTAGAGAACAACACGAAGTTGTAAGGAGTTCTGAATTTTGAAATGGAATTACAAGCATCCCTTCCGAGTGTAGGGCCTCATACAGTGAGAACGGAGTTCCTGTGGTTTCAGATAGTGCATGATGGATGAGCTACTGGGGGACAGTGAAGTACTCTGGCTGTACGTACTATGTTTTGTAGAGAACAACTGGCAGGCCTCCGACGTCGCGAGTGAAAGCTCCTGTGCTTTCCTGTCCTCTGGCTCCCGGTATCAGCAGGATGGCACTCTTACACGCTTTATTACAAGCACTTTTCTTGGGGCGTCCAATCAGTAGACTAGATCCATTGACTTGATGGCCTTAAAAAAAGACTCCTTTTTGTTCTCAGTGAAGACCTAATTTTTTTAGCATCGCGGTTATGCTTTTTAAAAGTCCTCTGAGTGTGCTTTAAAATACTCCAGCCCACTCAGACCCCTCCCCCGAAACATGATGGTAGAGATGAAACAATATTGGCAAACTGTTGAAATTTGTTAGTTACCTGTTGCCACGAAGTTAGCAGCTTCCAATGACCCAGATGTATTACCTCAGTTTCCGTGGGTCAGGTGTCAGGCTCCTGGGGTTCTCCACTCAAGGTCTCACGCCTGCCAGCAAGGTCTGGGCCAGGCTGCGTTCTCCTCAGGAGCTCAACTGGAAAAGAACCCATTTCCACACTCACCCTGGTCACTGGCAGAGCTCCTCTCCTTGCAGCTATAGACTGAAGCCCCTGGCTTTGTTGCTGGCCCTCGGCTCCTAGAGAGCACCTGGAGTCCGTTGTCACCCGGGCTTTCCCAGCATGGCCACTTACTTCAACAAATCGGCCAGGGCAGTCCCCAGAATGACACAAGATCATCACACAGGGGTGACATCAAATGTGCCCTATGGTGTTGGTGGGAAAGCCACTGCTCACAGGTTGCCCGCACACTCAGGGGCGGGGATTGTGGGTACAAAGGCATGGGCAGTAGGGTGAGGACCACTCTGGGCAGTGTCCACCACAGTGTACTCGCGAGATCACTGCGTTCTTCATATCTTCCACATCTCCTTATGTTTACCTTTGAAATTTTCATAACAAAAAGAAATGAATTCTTTCTTTTCACGTATCTCTGAATTTCCCACTGCAAGTAAGTTTCTAGATAAGCTGATGTGATTGTTCGCATTTGTCTTCTCAGGAGTTCCCGTTTCTTCTCACTCCAAGTTTATTCAGAACTACAGGAATTAATGCACGTGGGACCCATAACTAAAGAAGTTCACTAGAATCCGGCATGACAACCACAGATTTCAGCTCGCCGCCTAGAAATTGCTCGCTAAGGCATCGTAGGGTTCGTTCATTCCCTTTGCATTTATTTGGGGGCCTAGTTGGTGCTAAGGACTATTTTAGCAGCAGGGGAATGAAAGGATCTGAGATATTGTGGGGGGGGAGCCAGAGCGAAAGGTAGAGAGCCAAAACACTAAATGTCAATAAAATGCAAACAATGAAATGAAATAAATAAGGACTTCAGAAAGCAGTTACAAGAATGAAAAAAAGCAGGGGGGTGTGGGACGGTCTGAGGCGGAGCGAGAGACCTCTGCAGAGGAGGCGTTGGGCAGAGAGCTGGATGACACGAAACAGCGAGTGCAAAGGCCTTGAGACAGGTCGAGCCTGGAAAGTGCTAGGGGTACAAAAAAAAAAAAAGCAAAAAAACAAACCAGGCCAGAATGGAGAGAGGGCACGTGGGAAGAGGCACGACTGGGAGGTGACAGGCCTGGCGAGGTGTCCAGAATGGATTCTGTGTGTACTGGGAAGTCACTGACTCGCGACCACCATAGTACTAAGGGCTGAGGGTCAGAAAGTAGAATAACGTGCAGTGCATGCCTCCAAGGAATATGCAGACCCCAAACTTGATGCTGAAACAACCTCAGTGCATCTCCTGGGTTGGCAAAAAAAAAAAAGTCCGTAGGGTTCTTCCCGTAAAATAAAAGACGCGTTTTTCACTTTCACCAATAACCTTATTGAGTTGGATATTTTCAGTTTGTCAGCTGTCTCCCACATGGTACAACATTGATTTGGTCTCAATGTCTCAGTTTGATCGCTATCAGTTTCAGGCGGACCAGCTGACTGTGGAGCATTGTCCAGAGAGAAATCTCCAGCACGAACCTTCGCGAACCACTTCTGACATGTTCCATCAGGCAGATGGAGAGCTCCTTCCCCATACACGGCACAAATCCTGTTTTGTGCTGTGTGCCTGCTGCATTTTTACCTTTCTTGAAATAATAAAGCTTAATATGCTGAAAGTGTTGCATATTTCATTCCCTCTTCAATATTACAATGGCTACACAAACATTCACCAATTTCGATGTGTTTTTTTTTAAACCCACATTGATATGACAGCTGTCACCATACAATCTAATGCAATTGTTTCAGGTGACATTAAAGACGACTAAGCAGTGCTAGAGCCATCTTCTGGGAAAAAAAACAAATGAACTTTTTGGCCAACCCAATAGAACTATTGCCCAAAACACCTGTTTTGCCTGTGAGACAATCAAGACCCTGAAAGGGAGTGACCTGCTAAAATTCTTTGAGAGCGCCTCACAACAAGAAATAACCCATGAATGAATCTTGAATTGAAAGCATTTCTCTGATGTAAAGCTTTAGAAAAGTACGGAATAATTATGGAATGCCTGTCACGGGCGAGGCAGCACGAACGTCAAACATGACAGACAGAGAAGCTACAGTCTAGTTCAGGACACAAGGTGGAGGTGCGTGAGAAAGTAAACCAGGAGAGAGAGTGATGCACTAAAGATAACAGTCTCTTCCGGAGTGTCCTATCTTGGTATATATCTCATAGATTCAGTTCATTAGATCCAGGGGACAATGCAACAAGGTCAGGGTTGCTGTCTTTATTGCACAGAGGAGGAAACTGAAGATCAGAGAAGTTGGGTGATTTGCCCAAGGCTTCACAGCTAGTGAGCACCCGAGCCAGGACGGGGGGCCAAGTATATATGTCCAATTCCCCCTGTTTCCACCCTGGCCCACCACATGATGGGAAGAGGGCACCGTGTCTGACGAACTGCCCACTGAGTAGAGAAGAGGATCTTGATCTCAGAGGAAAGAGAAAAAGTGGTTCCCAGGGCTGTGATGATTTGGGTGGGCAGAACAAAGGGGGTTAGCATCTCACGGAATGGGAATGGTGGAGGAACACATGGTGTTTCTGGTTGCAGTGAGCGGGGCAAGGTTCAAGTGCAAGTAGCTCACTTGGGAGGGGATTCCAGAGAACACCACGGGGATAGTCAGGGAGGGGAAGGAACCTAGGAAGCGTGGAATGAACGGGTTACACTAACTCTTTTTTTTTTAAGATTTAATTAATTTATTTTAGACAGGGGAAGGGAGGGAGAAAGAGAGGGAGAGAAACATCAGTGTGTGGTTGTCTCTCATGGACCCCCCACTGGGGACCTGGCCCGCAGCCCAGGTATGTGCCCTGACTGGGAATCAAACAGGTGACCCTTTGGTTCCAAGGCCGGCACTCAATCCACTGAACCACACCAGCCAGGGCAACATTTACCCTTTGTCTTCTTTGTATGCCCACCCTCCTGAAGCTGCTACCAAAGCCATCACCACCAGGAGCACGTAGAGCCCCACACTGGCCCTCCGGGGACAGTCGGCTGTATCTTTGATTCCAGCGGGTCTTTCCCTGTTGTCATCTGACACAGGGCCCACTGACGACAGGGGTTCTGTTATCAAGAAAAGTAGAGCTTTGCTCCTTGCATCTGAGCAGCTCAAAGCATTCCACAGACCCACCTCTGTAATTCTCAGAATACCTCCAGGCAGCCCAGAGGAAGCATGGTCTCGTCCATGGGAAGGAGGAAGACACTCAGGTCCTGAGCGTGCACCCAGTGTGGTTTCAAAAGACAGAGAGGTCGGAGGGACATGGTCCTAGAGGGAGGACTTGGAAATCACCAGAAAGGGATTTCCTCCGAGTGACCCTGAGATGGCAGGAAGTAGCTGCTAAAGCTCCCGCACCAACAAAACTCCTCCGAAACCCAGACACCCTAACCCCCTCCCATTTGTACATGCACTCGGCACATCTGGGCACGGGTTGTGGCGAAACACTATGGTATTGAAAGGAATAAACCCAGCACTGCAAGAGAAATGGAGGGAGACAGAAAAAATTGAATCCAAAACATTCTTGTCATTTCCCCAAGTGACTTTTTCTTGCCTTTTTTAGCAGGGAAAAATTACTTTTTTGTGTTGTTATAAAAATAATACATGTGCATTAAAAATTTTTTTAAATATTATACCTAAGTATTAACAATGAAAAAGTTCAAATTCCCATCATCTTAATAATTATTAACATTTGTTGATCATCCTTATATAAGTCATTTATGCGTGTATACACACATAGACCTCTATCTATGTCATTTAACAAAACCAGAATTACATCATGCATGCTTTCTCCCTGGATGCTTTTTTAAAATAATCAGAGTATTTTCCCTCTTTATCCCCCACCCCCCCCCCTCTTTCCCAAGTAACCGATGTTGACCACTTGGTTCATACACTTCTTCAGGCTCATGTAATCACAGGAGAATACAGATGCACACATACACACAGCCCATGTTCCACTTTTAGCAATTGTCTTTGCAATGGCCCTTACAGTCCGATTTTCCCGTTAAGGATTGCACATGCACTTATACAGGGGGACCCGTGGGTACCCTTCCATATGGAACAGCCTCCCCCCCTTTCTTTTAGTGTTTTGCTTTTGACATTTTAGAGGAGTATAGGCCGTGTATTTTGTACAGTGTTGCTAAGTTTGGGTTCGCCTGGCATCTCTTCCCAGTGAAATCCAGGACAGTCTCTCAGCAGGTTTCGGCCACGTGCATACATGCAGGCAGCATGGCTGAAACCACGAGACAGTCACCTGGGCCTGCAGTGCCGCTCGCTCCAGTGAGAGCAGGTGTGTTTGAAGAGGCAAGTCCATGCCGCTGCCAGCTGCAGGTGCCGCGTAAATCTGGAATGTGCCTGGAGCCCGAGCCACAGCTGACACCCAGAGACAGACACTTGTTAATTAAGAGGCAAAAAAAAAAAAAAAAAAAGGTATGCACTCAATTTTCAAGAAGCAAAAATTACCAAGAGGCACAAGGCTCTCAAACTATTTTGCTGATGACTTGTCAAACGCGCACCGGAGCAGGAAACATGATGGTACAAGGAGCTGCTTCCTACCAGCAATGAGCAACAGCTCTGCTAAAATTACACAGAGCAGGAGGCCCGAGAGCCCCCCCACTGAGTTCCGAGTCTGGCTGCAAAGGTGGGAGCCCGCCCCTGTTTCCAGAACGCCTCCGTCTGCATAGTCAGCACCCACCTGCTCGGCCAAGGACGTGAGCAGAAGAACAAAGAAACACTTATCTCAACTAGAAATGCTGCTCAGTCAGAAAGAATTCCGAAAGAATTCAAAGTGGATTTCAGAAACCTCTTGTCTCCTCTGTAAAGAATGGATTTCAAGAAACGTCTTATGCTCCTGCTGAACAAAAGCTAGGCCCTGAAACAACTTGTGTGTGATGTTGTCATTTGTTCTCAGAATACATGGAAACCAGGGCCAAGAACAGACTTTTCCTGGCATCCTCGGCATTTCTGGGAGACAGCAACCTCACCGAGTGAGTAACTGAAACCCACTTCCCTCAAAGGTGGGTTGTCTCTGGAAGTGCCTGGTAACCAGTAAATTCATACGCAGGTGTTAGTTGCATTCTTATTTTCCCTTTTCTCAGAAGTTTCCACTGTTCGTGTCATTTTCTTTCAAAAGAAAACTGAGACCTTTATAAGAGTTTCTACTTGTGAGGGTTTCTCCTGGGGGTCAGTAGACAGATTGCTAATTCCTAAAATCATGTTCTTATTCTCCCACAAACCTCTGCTACATATTAGTAGAATCTGAAGATTATTCTATTTGGAGTATAAAAATATCATAGGTTTTCTTAATTAAAGATAATGCAATAGGGGTATAAATATATTTTCTAGAAATTTTCATTTTTATAACTTTCTATTGTTCCTATAATATTTCACCATAAGAGACATTTTAATTTGTTTTGGTACAGACTTCTTTCTGAGTTTAAAATTATTTCAAAACATAGCATAGTAAGTTACACTTTAGTTATCGTACATCTTTTTGGGAACACCATAGGTATAAGTTTTATTAATGAGCTGGGATTGCTTCCAACTTTCCTATTTTGCTCATTTAGATACATTGAGAAAAAAATCAGGTCGTACATTTAAAAAAGATTTTTTTATCCTCGACCAAGAAAAAAAAATTTTATTGCTTTGAGGGAGGGAGGGAGATGACACTGGGTATGTGCCCTGACTGGGAATCGAACCTGTAACCCTTCAGTTTATGGGACAATGCTTCAAGAGAGCCAGGGCAGGGCATGTCATACGTTACTGCATTACTCATACAGTGCATTTGAGAGGAGTATCAGTAAAGTGATGTTGTGTCTTTCTCAGCATCAGGTCAAAAGGCCTGTGATGTTGGTTTGTCCCAATATTTGTGATGTTCATTTCTATCATTAGTGTAAGATTATTCTACCAGGATTTCCCAATGGATTCTTTCGCCTTGTTGTTAATAATTACAAAGACCCTGGCTGCTGTAGCTTAGTGGACTGAGTGTGGGCTGTGAACCAAAGCATTGCAGGTTTGATTCCCAGTCAGGTCACATGCCTGGGTTGCAGGCCATGACCCCCAGCAACTGCACATTGATGCTTTTCTCTCTCTCTCTCTCTCTCTCTCTCTCTCTCTCTCTCTCCCTTCCCTCTCTAAAAACAAATAAAATCTTAAAAAAATAATTACAAAGAATGTAAATATCTTGTTCTTCATCAAACTCTTACCCACTCATTTAAGTATCTATTGGTGATTTTTTAATCCTTCTTTCCTCCTTCCCTTCCTCCCTCTCTTCCTTCCTTCCTTCCTCCTCTCCTTCCTTCCTCATTCTCTCTCTCTGGCCTTCCCCTCTCTTCCTCTTTCCTCCTGTCCCCCCACCCATTCTCCGCATGCTATGGTAAGGAAAAACTTCCTTTTTTTCTCATTTATATCTCTATTCACTGTCTTGTTTATATTAATTTGGTCTCATAGACATTTATGATATCAATGGGCTATAATCTACTATTATAAATAGTTATTTTGATATTTAAATTGTCCCAGAGTTGGCCAGCGGGAGCCCCTTCCAGCTAATCCCTGTCACGTGACGTGACCCAATCACCCAGGAGCACC